CTGCGCTGCAGCTCTTTGCTTTGGAGCGGCGGAAGACTACGACGTCGTACAAGTACTTCGAGGATACCGCGAGTATTCGTGCTGCTTTATTTCGTCTTACGGATGCCGAGAGGGAATTGCTAGAGCAGAGTGCAATGGCGCTGCGGCATGACGTGGCGTTGACGTCCGTCTGCGGCGAAGAGGGCTGTCTGGAAGTGGCCACTGACGACATCGCAGTGCAAATCGACGATCCGAGTGGGTGTGCTGTGGATGCCGCAGGGGACCCCACCGAGGAAAGCGGTGCCAGGGAAATTTATTTATAACTTTTGTGAGAGTGCATGGCACGGCTTTCGCTCTTTTTTTTTATTGTTGTTCTTGGGCACAAGAGTAAATACATATATACATATATACTTGTTTGTGGACATGTATTTATGGTGCAGGTAAAAACAGGGCCGTTGTAATCACTTGCATGGCCAGACTTGTCACAACCTTCTGTGCCACTCGTACGGTGACATGGCTGTGGCGATTTCTCCCCATCTTTTTTAATTTTTGGGAAAGACTTAACGTTTTTCGAAATCAAGCAAAAAAAAAGGCAACAACAAATAAGTTTTAGCTTGGAGCTAACAGGGACAAACAGCAAATTGAGGGCGTGGAAAATGGTGCTTGGTTTCAATGACCGACTTGAGGCACCCAACTCCATTAACGAGTCACAGCGCTTTGGGTTTGTGGTGTGCAGCATGTTTTGTGCGATCGCATCCGGTGCCGTCTACTCCTTTTCGCTCATATCGGGCAAAATGACGGATGACTACGGCTTTACCCAGAACGATATCACCACCGTTTCAACTGTGGGCATCGTTTTTGGATACTTTACGCTTCCCTTTGGATTCATCTTTGACTACATAGGGCCGAAGCCGCTTTTTGTGATTGGCATGGTTGCGTACGGACTTGGCGCAGCACTATTTGCATTGACGTTTTCGGGAAGGATTGGGGCAAGCGTGGGGAGTCTTGCTGTCATCAATGCCATCATGAACATTGGCTGTTCCATGTTTGATATGGGCCCCATCTTGTCTGTACTCAGCTGGTTTCCAGTTGACCGCGGTCTCTTGGTGGCAGCTGTGAAGTCGATGGTTGGATTGGCAGGCTCTGTCATTGCGACAATTTACAACACGTACTTTTCAGGCAACCACTCCACTTTTATGTTTTTTCTTCTTGCCGTTTTTGTGGCCATTGGGTTCTGGGCGTTTATCTTCATTCAGATCCCTCCGTACCATATGACAGGCCACAGGATCAAGCATTACACCGAAGAGGAGCACGCGATAGCACGTCGTGTGGAGCACATGTATCTCATCAAGAAGGCCCCCAGACGGCGCTTTCTTATTTTGTTCGTCATTGTGTTGAGTCTTCTCATCGTGATCACGGTACAGAGCATCGTCTTTGTTTTTGTGGAGGGTGAAGTGTCATTCAAGACGAAAAACCCACCCGCAATTATCATGATTGTGCTGTACTTTTCGTTATTCCTTGTTGTCCTGCCATTCAATTGCCTTGACAAGCCATTGAGGGGAAGCAGAAAATCCACTAGCGGCAGCAACGAACCCCTCGAGAACTCCAATGAGAAGAACGACAGCAAAGGGGACACATCTGCCGGTGACGCCAAAAATGAAATAATGGATGAGGCTCTTGAAGGAGAGGAAAGGCTTGTTTCCAATGATGACAAGAATTTTCCGCAGTACCAGACCGGCTTCTTTTATAATGTTCTTCACAGTATTCCATTGTGGTGTGTCTGGCTGAACGCTGTCATTTTGTCGGGTGGTGTGCATATTGTTATGCTCAACAGTCGCCAGCTGTTTGTGGCGGTATCAGAGGACCCGTCGAGCGAGCAGCTTCCCGCCCTGTACGTTGCCCTGACGAGTATCGGTAACGCCATTAGTCGTCTTGGTGTCAGTTTCTTTGAAGCATGGAATGCAAGCCGACCACTTGAGAAGCGAACGCCCATTACCATCACGTACTGCATCCCGTCCCTCATGATGTGCCTTTCTTGCATCTTTTTTCTCATTGTGCCAGCACGGGCGCTGATCGTACCAATGCTTCTCGGAGGATTTGCGAACGGGTCCTACGCTGCTACCCTCGTATTGACTGTCCGCACCATTTTCAGCATTGACGTTGCGAAACATTACAACAGTATCTTTTTCTTTGATCTCATTGGTGTCATTGTCTTCAACCGTTTTATGTTTGGTGAACTTATGACGCGAAACTCCGTTCGGGCTTCGGATGGTCGGGTCCACTGCCTGGGACGTAGCAAGTGTGTGCGGACATCATTCACTGTGCTTGCGTGCCTCTGCGCATTGGCCTTCACTGCAAGTCTGCTGATGCATTTTGTCTACATGCGCTTTGTACGCTCCAGGCGTGTGCAGGAAGAGGCGGGACGAAATGTTCCGTTGGAGATGGCTGGGGTAATTTCCGAAGAAGTTCAGTAAGCTCCAGGAATTAAAAAAAAAAAAAGGAAAAAAAAATGGATACTTGTTTTTGTTGTTTGTTTAATTTATTTTGGCCCTCCTTTTTTTTTGTTTTCTTTTTTTATTTGTATAAAATCCCTAAATTTGTGCACAATTTTGTTGTATTTTTACCTTTTTTTTTTCTTATATATATTAACATAATAATTTATTTATCAATATATGAGTATATGTCTGTATCTATTTATCTATGTTTCTGTACATGTGTATAGACATATACATATTTAGGCATACATGTATTTGTATTCATCGGCTGTTTTTTTTCGTTTTTCGTTTTTTTTTTTTTTTTTTTTTTTTTGGCATAAGCTTTAAAAATTTATTTATTTATTTATTTTTATTTTCCCACCCCACCACTTCTCATCTTTTTTAGCCTTCTTGGTTTTTACGTCTGGGCCGCTTTCTGTTTTTTTTTTTTTTTTTTTTTTTTAGTGTTCTTTTTTTTTTGGGTTTTTGTTTTTTGTTGTTTTTTAAAATCAATTCGTGTTTTTTTTTTTTTCTTTTCTTTCGAAAAACAACAACTAACAAACAAACAAACAAACAAAAAACAAAAAACAGGACTTTCTCCTCTCTGCTGGGCGGTGCGGGGGATGTACGCCTGCACCCACCCACACTGCATGCATGTACGCTGCGTGTAATGGCTGTGAAGGCAACGTGTGGTGGAAACTGAGATGAAATTCTGATCTTTTTTTTTCTTTTTTTTTTTTTTTTTTTTCCCACACGCACGAAACCACCAGCACAACAACAAGAAGACGAAAAGGGAAGGGAAGGGAAGTAAAAGAGGTTGAAGTTAGGACACAAAAAATTTATTTATTTATTTATTTTTTCCTTTGATGGAAAGTTTTGAGTCAACACACCGGCAGCGTTTGGCTTTTTTTTCTGCACACCCCTGCAGATATTTGCACATGACACATACAACGATCGGGATCTTCACAGGTATACGCACGCAGATGGTTACATGGAGAGAAGGACTCCAAGAAAGTTTTGTTTGCTGTTTTTTTCTTACCGAAATGACATGTTCCTTTCCTTTTTTTTTATTTTCTTTTTTTATTCCTTTTATGTTGGATCACATGGGAGGATTTACTTGCAATAATGTGTTGAGGCAAACCAACGAATTGTTATATTTACATTTGTATTCCAGCCTTTATTTATTTTTCCGCTTTTCCTGTTTTGGATTTTTTTTATTTTTTTTTTTTTAATTTTTATTTTGCATGGCATGCTGTAGATACCGTGCTTGAGGGGAAAGGGGATTAAAGGTGTAAACCGCACATATATACATAGATATATATATTCAATTGTGAATAGTGGGTAGGAGTATTGTTCGGTGGGGAGGAAAGAGAAAAGGGGAGAGGGAGAGAGAGTGAGGGAGGAATACAGCGTAACTCATCATTGATTCATGGGGAAGGGTCGCGACAAGCGCAAGAAGCATGAGGATCCCTTGAAAGCAGTGAAGCGTGCGAGTCGCCAGGCCCAGAAACGTGCCAAAGGGATTCACAAGGGCGACTCAGGCGACGACGAGGTGAAGGGGTTCAACAATGAGGAGGCTCCGGAAGTTACGTTGAACCGCATACGTAAGCAGGAGGGCAAAATGCGCACCACGTTGGTGGAGGAAAACGTCCCCGCCCCTAGTCCGCGTGCGAATGTTGTCTTTACTGCTCACCCTGAAAGGGATCACGAGCTGATGCTTTTTGGTGGAGAGTATTGGGACGGGGAGAAAACGGTAGCGTACAATGACCTGTACTTTTACAACATCAAGCGCAACTTCTGGTCACGTCTCGTGACGGCGTTGAACCCGCCCCCACGCAGCAGCAGCCAGGGTGTTCTCTACAAGCACTTTCTTCTTATTTGTGGCGGAGAATTTGTCTCTCAGTCGCAATCGCAATTTCTGCACTTTAAGGACGTTTGGCGTTTTGACACCAAAAAATTTGAATGGGAAGAACTAAAGGGCTTGAAAGGGGGTCCGTCGTCACGCAGTGGACATCGTATTTGTATCTGGCGTCGTAATGCCGTCCTATTTGGTGGATTTTATGATAATGCACAGGAATGCCACTATTTTAATGACCTTTGGGTACTTTCGCATTTGGACGGGCCGGGAAAGTGGACGGCTGTCAAAACCGCGCCATATGGTGAGTTGCCTCACCCGCGCAGTGGACATTCAATGGCTGTCTGGAATGACACGCTCTTTGTCTATGGGGGATTCTCCAGTGAAAAGTTTAATCGATTTAAAAAGTCACAAGCAACCGTGCACCATGACCTTTGGAGCTTAAAATTACCGCAGGGTATCGGTGCTGCAGATAATAACAACGCGGAGTGTGAGGTTACATTATGGACAAAGATACGTTTGGGCGGTATTCCCCCACCCATTCGCTGTGGCGTGGGCAGTGCGTTTAAAGATAGCAAAATGTATTTGTTTGGCGGTGTTGTGGACATTGAGTCTCCAGGCGGAAAGGTTGTGTCAAGTTTTTGCAGTGATTTATTTGTTTTTCATATGGACACGAAACGCTTTTACCCAATTGTTTTGCGCGCAAGGAGGAAGACGACTGTATCGGAGTCGAAGGAAGGGGACCTGCAATCGGAATTGAAGGCTCTTCATTTACAACATCTGAAAGATGCCTCCAAGTGTTCAAGTGACGAAGACAGTGACGAGGAGGACGAAGAGGAGGCGGAAAGTCATGGGAACGTTGAGGAAGATGACAAGGAAGAGATGAAGGAGAGTTTTGAAGTCAATAAAAGAGGGCAGATATATCCACATCGTCGGATGAACGCATCCATGCTTGTTCTTGGGAACACTCTATACATTTTTGGGGGTCAGTTTGAGAGTGGCTTGCGGGAAGTCACGATGTCGGATCTCTTTTCATTCAATCTTCATACATGTGACACGTACCGCGTGCTTCTCTCGCAGGATCTTTCACGTTTGGTATGGCTTGGTAAGGAGGCAGAGGAGAGTGACGCTGGCTCATGGGAGAGCGGCAGCACTGTTGTCAGCGCTGCATTTGACATGGAGTACGATGAAGACGACGATGAGGTTGCGGAAGGTGCTGAAGAGGCAGCGGTGGACGGCGGCGTGGACTTTTCCCGCATTCCGCGGTCACTGGAGGATGGCGACAACGATGATGAGCCACCGCAGGTTATCCCCGCGGAGCTTGACACCGCCGTCACACCCGCACGTGACATTGTGGACGGCATCACCACTGTAAAGGGCAAGAAGGGCCTCAAGATACATAAGGAGCAGCTCCTCGCTCAGCTGGGCGGCGGATCCGCCGTACCAACCCCGCTGAGGGAGGAGACTCCGGCGTTATTTTTTGAACGGACGACTGCCTTTTGGGTGTCGATTGCAACGGAGTCATTTGCGGATGCCGGTGGAAATACGCGTCAGTCGGAGAAACGGATTTATAGGCGGGCAATGCGGTTTGCCTTTCTCCGCTACCACGAGGCAAAGAAACTACTTGAACAACTGCGACTTGTAGAGGAACGCGAAGAGGAGGAGACGCGGTTCTTCAAGGAGCGCCGAGAACAGAAGGAAAAAGAATGGGAAGAACACGAGAGAAAAATTGGGGAACAGGAAGAGGATGATGACAAGAGTGCCTAAAAATGAAGGAGGCGGAGAGCACCGAATCTGGAACGTTTTCCCCCCCCTCTTGTTGTGCCGTTTTTTTTTTTTTTGGTGTGTGTGTGATTGTGGGATGGAGCTGGAGAGTCTGGCTGAATGTTTTTTAAACATTTAAGTTTCCTTTTCTTTTTTTTTTTGCCTTCTTTATTTATTTATATAATTTTTTTGCGTCATGGACGGATGTTGCGGTAGGGTTTCTGGGAGGGATGGCCGGTGCATCCACCGCCCTTGAAAATGTTGACGAGGCACTCGAGGCGAATCGTCGGCTTCAGAAGAAGTTGAGGCGGATGATTCGGCAGTTGTGTGAGGCACACGATCGGTTTTCAGCCCTTCGTGTGACGCTATGCATGCCGCCTTCTTCTCCCAGAAGGCGGCAGCGTCTTTCCGGGAAACGCGACCGCGTTCATAGCGCTCCGGTGACGTATTATTTTAATGATCGCCTGCCAAGCAGCTCGTCTTTTGCTCCGTTCCGCCATGCCGGTGTTTATGCGGAGGGTGGTATTCCCCGGTACGCACCACTTCCATTGACGGCGGATGAGGTGCGCTGGAAGGAGGCCAGCGAAACATTTTCTCCGCTACGGCATGATGTACTCAACGCAACAATGCGTGTTAAATTTTCAGGGAAAAAAGAGGAAGGGGATGATGATATTGTGAATGATTATGAATTCATAGCGGCTGTGCGTGGCTACATTGGAAACCCATGTGGTGCAACCTTCTGGAAGGCGTTGGACGGGCACGGACGTCCACAGTTTGACATTGCTAGCAGGTACGTTGCGCTGAGAATCCTCAAGAAGACAAATTCTGTCCCATCACATTATGAGGCATACCAACTTAGCGAAGAAGAAAAAAATGCCGCGGCTAAAGAGGCGGTGCGGTGCCATTTTGGTGATTTGGGGGCAATGTTTGCCGCCTACGCAGAGCTCCTTGTGGCGGCTGCACGTCGTCATGCATACATGGCGGAATTAGTTGGAAAGGTGGTTGATCCCTTTCCCCCATATGTATGGGAGAGTCGTGTCAATTTTATGCGGATGGTGGATTCCATCGTGCAGGAGGCAGGCATCTCCGATGGGCATGATGCCCTGTGGGATGGTGAAGATGTAGTGTTAGCGCAGCGTTTTGTTGGGCAGAGCCAAACCAAGCCCTCTCTTGTGGACCTCACAGCATGTCTCTTGGCGTTTAAGAGTGAAATCCTTGGAAAGAAAAGTAGCTTGCAGGAAATTGCACGGATTTTTCTGCCGAGGTGTGGGGGCCCGTCACTAACTCTGTGGGATTTAAAGCAGCTACGGCTGCCAAAGGAGAGCTAAAAAAAAAAAAAAAAAAAGGTTGGACAGAAAAGAAAAAGAGAAAAACAACGAATAAATTCTAATGGAAATGTTCATTTATTTTTATTTTATTTTTCTGCATTCATGCGTGGGCGAGTGCGGCAGAGAGAGAGTGAATACAGATATTTTTTCTGTTGTTACTGTTGCGCCAGTTTCAGTATCATTGGCAGATATATATATTTATGGATGCATTGAAGACGTTGTGTGAGGGCTTCATATGTCTCGTTTGGGTTATTTATCCCGTGTTTTCTTTTTTTCTCATTATTTTTTTTTGTGTGTTTTTTCTTCTTTTGCGTCTTTTGTGTTATACGTATGCTGATTGGTTGCATCATATGTATATCACAGCTGCGGTGTGGTGAATGATTCGATCAATGGAAGCCGACAGCGTGGAGCTTGCGGTGCAGCTTGAGCTGTGCATTCTTCGCGCCGTCACCCCGAAAGACTACCAGTGCGTCTTGGAGCGGAATGGCAAAATGGACGGGAACACCGTACGCCTGCTGCAGGCGATTATGCAACAGGATGACAAGGTGCATTTGGGGCAAACGATACTGTTGAGTGAACATTTTCCGGTTGCTCTCATGGTGGTGGATTTGACTCCGGCTACGGCTGGCGTGTTGTGCGACACGACAACCCTTATTGTACTTCCACCATGCGTTAGTAACGGGGCTACAGAGTTGTGCCTCGCTGCACACACGACAGAAGAGAACCCCAAAGAGGAGGAGGAGGAGGAGGAAGAAGAAGAAGGGGATGTCGATGACGACCAATGCATTGTTGTGTTGGATGATTCTTTGAGTGGCTCCATTGCGGTGTCGTCCGAGAGGTTTTTTTTGCGCACCCTGCTGATGGACGGCGCGGTGGTGTGTGTTGGTGATGCAGAGTACACGACTGCTTTCTCCATTTGCATGAAAGCAGAGGGAGAGGATGGTGCCGATAGTGTTCCTACCCTGCACACCTCGCCCGATGTTTTTCGTAATATTCGGGCTGCCATTTTGCTTGAGTCCTTATCGTCCGTTGAGGCGACTCGTGTGCGATACTCAGACCAACGGCTGAATACTTCACTTTCTGTATTTCGTCCTGTACTCGATTCGGCGTGCATGCCGTTAACTTTGGGATTGTCGAAAAATGGGTTTAGTGAGTTGCAAATGAGTTGTGCCGTTCTTGTGCCTGCGTGGCCTCTCGCCATGTTGAATGCCGTATTGGGAGACACGTATGAGAAGATGTTGGTGCTTGCACTAAATGCCTCCAAGGAGATGTTGTCGGGCCGAATGGTCTCTGAAGGTGACGTTCTTATTTTTCACGTTACGCCTCAACTCTTTCTTGAGCGGCAGCTGGATTATACGGACGTCACCGAGGCTGTGCTGAGGCATGTTGCACATCTTGTACAGGACGATGCCGCTGAAACGACTATGAGATTACGGCAGAACTTTGACGGTACCATTGCGATTCCAATCCGCGTTGCCGAGGTGACGACATCTTCAGGTAAACCGTACGGGTTGCTTGAGCTAGATGGTCAGGGGACGGAGGTCGTTTTATCCATACGCAGCACATTGCCTTGCGTGGATGTGACTCCCCTTTATCCACCATTATGTTCAAACGGAACAGTTTATTTAAACTTGTCTTTCACTCTGGCCATTCGTGGAGCGTTGGGTTCCTTTTTTTTACCACTACACTCTGCGGGGACACATGTCTTTGTGGTGCGTGCAATGCCGGAGAACTTTCCATACGAGTGCATTACGACTGCGTTGGCAGTGAATGGTGTGGCAGCGCTTATTGTTGACCTTGATCAGTGGCGTACAGAGGATGTGCAGCGTCTTGTTTCAGAGTATATGCAAGGCCGTGGTGAAGTGGCACTTGTGATAAAGAATGCGCAAATTTTACCTGACAATCCCCACTTGTTGCATTTGTTTGACACGGATGATACCATCAGTGATACCTGTCTTGGGGTTCGGATTATTTTTCTTGTCTGCGAGGGTATGGAGGCACCACCGCCAACGGTGGCAGCCAGGGCCCGAAATGTGGAAGGTGTACTAAATTGCGCCAATCCATCCGACACGGACCGTCGCATTATTGCAGAAACTCTGTTTCAAGAGGCTCAACGTTCTTTTGGTGTATGTAAGAGCCTTCTGTTGTCATTTGATTCCGTAGCGTCATGGACAGTCGGACTGAGTGCTGCCGATGTGGTGGCGTACATGCAGGAATGTCTCTCTGTTCTGAGATGCATGCGGTTGCCGGAGGGAGTACGTCCTGTACTTTCGGAGTCATTGTGCGGAAGTGTGCTGCAGAAGTATCAAAAAGCGCATGGATACAGTCTTGTCTCGACTAAACTGCAGCCTGTGCGGTGGAAGGATGTGGGCGGATTGGAGGAGGCGAAGCGAGAGCTGCGGGAGACGATTCAATTGCCCCTGCTGCACCCGGAACTTTTTTCAACCGGCACAAAGCGACGAGCGGGTATCCTTTTTTACGGGCCGCCAGGGTGTGGCAAGACACTTCTAGCAAAGGCAGTCGCGACGGAGATGAACATGAATTTCATGGCGGTGAAGGGGCCTGAGCTGATCAATCAGTACGTTGGTGAGAGCGAAAAGAACATTCGTCTCCTCTTTCAGCGTGCACGGGACAACTCGCCCTGCATCATATTTTTTGACGAGCTGGACGCACTGGCGCCGGCACGTGGCGCGAAGGGTGACGCCGGCGGGGCGATGGATCGTGTTGTTGCGCAGCTGCTTGTTGAGGTGGATGGCGTTGGCCACACACGCACAGACGGCAGTACCACCGCACAGGTGTTTGTCATCGGCGCTACAAATCGTCCGGATCTTCTGGACCCATCGCTGCTACGCCCTGGCCGCTTTGACAGGCTGTGCTACTTGGGTCTTCCCGCGACGAGGGAGGAGCAGTTGGTCGCCCTCCGTGCACTCACGCGGAAGTTTAACCTCGCAGATGACGTGGACTTTGACGCCCTCCTTGAGCCACTTTCTATGGATTACACCGGCGCTGATTTTTTTGCTCTTTGTTCTGACGCCATGATGTTTGCTGTCGAATCGATGCTTCAGCGCACTGCTGCGGAGGGGGGCGACGATACACAGTCGGTGGGGCGTCATGCCGAAGAGGCGCCGTCTTTTTTTGTTCAGATGCGTGACTTTGTGAGGGCGCGCGATCAACTCAAGCCGTCGGTCTCGAAGGAAGAACTTCAGCGTTACGAGAGCCTTCGGTCGAAATTCACCACCTGGTAGATTACTGTGAGGCGTACACTCTGGGAGTGTGAGGGCGGGTATTTTGTGAGGAACTCGCCTTGAATGAAGCAGCAGCGCGGATCGGCTTCAATGGCCCCACGTGAAGGGCGAAGAAAGAAGGGGAATAAGAGAAGAGAACTACAGGAAGAAAGAGAAAATGAAAAGTCATTAAAACATGATGCATTAATAACGATAAATGCACACAAATAACGGAGAAAAAAAAAAAAAAGAAAGAAAGATACCATTTAACCGTTGTATCATCGAGGCTCGTCTACACATTTCCTTTGCGAAGGTATCTATATATCTAAATATATTTATATATACATATTTCTCTCCCTTTCTCACTGTGTGTCTGTGTGTGTGTGTGTGCGGAACTGTGTATGTATTTCCTTTATTTGATGTTTTTTTTTCCTTTACCATCGTCTTCTTTTTTTTCTTTTTTGCTGTTGTTATTTTGTTGTTTTACAAAATTGAGTAGAAGTAGCGCATTTTGGGTAATATGTCTTTTGTGAAAGCTCTCTATTCAGAAGAAAAAAGGCGTTATGAACCCATGCCTCTGACAGGTGCCCATGGAGTTGGGGAAAACGAGGGAAATGATGGACCCCTGTTTCATTTGAAGCGCCATATGTCCATGAAGGAGTTATTATTTTTACTTTGTATGTCGTTTAGCTACGCCATATGTTTTAACACATTAAACAATATTTTGATTCCAAAATCTGTTGCCCGTTTTTGTAATAATAAACAAAGTCTTTGGTTAGGTTTTCTCATGGTACTTGGAGCCTTGTGTCAGATGTCTGCTCCATTGGTTGGGGCGTACAGTGATCGTATGGGTGGCAGGGCGGTCTTTTTAGTGTACGGCTCAGCTGTGACAGTTTTGGGACTTTTTATTTTTCTTCTTGTGGAAATGATAGATGGAATTGTATTACTTTGCTTTGCTCAGGTGACATCTACCGTGGGACTTTCTGTCGTTTATAATATGGTCATGGCGTTGTTAACGGATTATGTTCCTGAGGAGCAAACTGGGGAAGGAAGTGGGGCGCTTGCTCTTCTTGCCCTAACGGGTAGTGGTGTGGGGTATGCCATGTTGGCGATAGACGTGCCTATTACTTACTGTCTCTGTATTTATGTGCTTGTGACGTTATTTTGTTTGGCAGTGACTTTGAATTTTATTCCAATTGTAGATACATCTCGACAGCCACAAGAGCCCGCCCGTTTTTGTGATACGCTGACGGCAGCATTTACGGTGCCTTCCTTTCGTGTATTTCCCGATTTTTTACTTGCATGCATTGGAAGGGCGCTTTTTAATACTGGTGTCGCTTCTCAATTATATCTTTTTTTTTTTGTGCGTGATGTGTTGAGTTTGTCTAGCCCAGTACGCGTGACCTCTGCGTTGTGGATTGCAGCACTGGCGGGGGGTTTTGTGGGTGCCATCCCAAGCGGAATATTTTCCGACCGCATTGGACGCAAGCCTGTTGTTTACGCCTCTCTTTGTTTATGTACCGCGTCAGTCATGTGTCTTCTTTTTGTACCTAACATTGAATTTCTTTATTTGGTGGGTTTTATTCATGGGGTTGGGACTGCGTCTTACCTTTCCGTTGACCACGCACTTGGTATATCAACACTCCCTCGTAAAGGTGGTGTGCCGATTGATGCCGCGAAGGATTTGGCGTTATTTGCCACAAGTGCAACCATTGGGACAATTTTTGGACAAGTGGGTTATGGGGTTATACTTCAGTTCTTTGTGGCATATACGGAGGCCGGGTCAATTTACTACAGTTATTTTGGGTTTGTTGTCATGTTTTCTTTTGCCTCTCTTGCATTTATCGCGAGTGGCGCCACGGTGGTGCGTATTCGCGTGAAGTGAAGGAAACAAATAAATAAATAAATAAAATTTAGCATCATTGGCCGCCAAACCAACAACAAGAGGGGGAGGGGGAAAAGAAAATAATAATAAAATGAAACGAAAAGACTGAAAGACGCAAGAAAAAAAAAAAAAAAAAAAAAAAAAAAAAAGAGGAAAGAAGTAAAAAACGGTAGGCGGACCGGCGAATATTAACTTCTTGCAGACAATTTACTTGCGACAGGTTTTTTTTTTTTCTTTTGTTCAGATTAGGGGAAAACTGTTGACGCCAGAGCTCTCTCTCTCTCTCCCTATATATATATATATATATTGTAGGGTCTATGTTCCTTCTTTTTTCCTTTTTTTTTTCTTGTTGTTGTTGGATGTTGGAGTGTATGTTTGTTGAGAGTTTAGATATACCATTTTTTTTTTTCTTTTTTTTTCTTTTTCTTTTTCTTTCTCAATCTCTCTCTTTTTCTTTTTTCTCTCTCTATCCATCTGTGTGTTTGTGTGTCTTTTTTTTTTTTTTTGTTTATTTGTGTGAGTGCTTGGCTGGGTTTTGATTTTTGTGTCTTCTTTGATTTTTTTATTTTTAGTGTCATTTTGTCTCCCACGACTTTCAAATTTTTATTTTTTATTTTTTGTTTCTTTTTCTTTTTTTTTGTGTGTTGTGTGTTTGTTGACTTTCAGGGATGTCATCTTCTGAAATTGCGGTGAAGCGACTGCGGCGGCAGTGGGAGCCGGAGGAAAAGACGTGGAACGACGAGGTGTTGGAGGTGCCATGGGAGGAGTTGACTCCCCCGCTGCACAAGTCCACCGTCTTTGCACTGAAGAATGTCTTTTTCTTCTCCCACGCCACCTCTGTGCAGGCCCGCGCCATTAGTTTTCTCCGCACATCGGGCAACAGTGCGGTGTTGGAGGCACCGACAGGCAGTGGGAAGACGCTGGCCGTGCTGATTCCACTGATTGAGCGCACCGTGCGCGCATGCGATGCATACGTGGCCGAACACGGTCGTCCTCTTTTACGCCGAGATATCGTGGGTGTTATTTTGTCCCCGTCACGTGTGTTGGCGGAGCAAACCTTCGTCGTTGGGCGCAACCTTGTCTCTCGCCTTCCACAAAACATACGCTTTGTCTTGTGCGATGGGGCCGTGCAGCCTGTCCATGCCGTCCTGGATGGGCTAAAAAAAGCAGCTCGTGGTGCCGGAAATTTCCTCGTCACGACACCCCATGACCTTTCAGAGTTTCTTGCCGTATGGGAACAGGAACGGGCGGCGAGTGCGGTGTCGGATGAAATGCAGGAGTTGTTGGCCACACAGGATGAGGAGACACGGCGGCGCTACTATGAGAAGCGGGGCGGCATGCAGTCAGTGAGCGGGGACACGGGGAATGCGGTTCAATTGCGTGGATGCCACAGTGAGCGGTTTGCGTTTGTCGTGGACGAGGCGGATCTTGTCTTCCACTCACCGGAGATGCGGGGGGCTGTAACACGATTCCTGGACACATACGCCGGGATGGAGGAGCCGCCTCAAAAGCGACACAAATTCGCTCCTTACAAATCGTCTCCTTCCGGTCAAATTGTGACGGACGTGGCGTTTGTTGGGGCGACAGTCTCCACCTCTCAGGAGCTGCGAGCGTACGCCGCTCACATCCAAGCGACGCTTGGAACGCAGATGCACACCATCGTACTGAATAGCTCGCAGGATTTTGTTACACAGTTGCAGAATCGCTACATGATGTGCGAAGCGCACGAATTTCTTCCCCTTTTGGTTCAACTGATGAATCTCCATGCGTCGAAGAAGCACTTTATTTTTTTTAACAGCCCCAAAACGTTGAAATTTGTGGAAAAACTATTTGGTAGCCTTATGAAAAGCGAGTCCCCACTTCTGTACATCAAACACACGTTTGTGATGTACGAGGGTATGAATGAGCGGGCGCGGCTTGAGCAGTACAACGCGTTTTTAAATCATGGGACGAATGCACAGGAGTTGGCCACAAAAAAGACACAACCCCCGCCTCACGCTGCGACGGAGAAGAAGAATCAAGTGTATAGTGGTGGTTGGAAGCGGGACGGACGACCACCGGATGGGAAAGGTGCAATTCTTCTCTGCACAGATATCGCAGCGTTTGGGTTGGATGTGCGTGACGTGGATTATGTCTACCACTTTGAACCACCAGCAACCGTACAGTCTTATGTGCATCGCATTGGTCGAGTCGGACGTATGGGAATGCGTGGAAGCAGTATTCTTCTCTTGCCATGTTTCAGCAACGAGAGTTCATTGGCTTCTGCACGGGAGCGTAAGACAACAAGCACTCGCTTTAACACCATTGCCAACACGAAGTTTTCAACATCTGAGCTGCAGTCTGTGCATATGACATTGGATGATCTTGGCAAGGAGCAACGCTGTTACATTGAGGACTTGGGCAAACGCAGCGAATTACAACCGTACTCAATTCCTCCTTTTGCGCCTATCACATCCACTATTCGTAATATTATTTCACAGCAAAAAAATCTTTTGAAGTTGGCAGAAATTGCCGCCATGTCCATGTGTACCGTCCCAGAGAATGCGGAGAAGGCAAAGGCCTGGTTTTACCCCAAACTGGCACTATGCGCTCTTCTACTCGATTAAGGCTTAAAAAGAGCGAATTGAGGAATTCTACTCTTACAATTATAATCACATTGCCATAAATATTTAAGGAAATATCCTTGGGATGTTTTGATGTAATGGGCGTATCGTCATGTCTCTTTTGCCTTTCTGCACTGAATATTATATGACTTTGTTCTTATTGACTTTTTTTTTTTCTTGTGGTTATTTTTATTTTTATTTTGTGAGTGGGTTATATATATATATATATATATACATTTTTTGACTTTTTATATAGTTTTCTTGGCGAATAATTTTACGAGGGTGCGTGTGTATGTGCCTGTGTGATGTACAGCTATAACAACATTGTTGATAAGGGCGAACCCTTAAAGAAGGATGTGATTGATCGAGTGCCCCTGGAAATTACACCGACTGAAGTTGTTTTACAGAGTCGGGTCGATGAGCGGGTGGAAGTGCTGGTCGTGGAGAATTTCTTGTCCGCTGCGGAGTGCGATCGAATTGTTGCTGCCTGTGAGGAAGTGGGCTATACCTTTTGGCGGCAGAAGGACGCAAACGCAGCATGTGACGCCGGACAACGCAGCGGAGAAACAGAGGCACGTGCTTTTCGCGTGGTCGACACCATTGAGGCATGTTTCCCGCAGTTGACACGGGCTCTGTCGGAGCGCATTCAACGGGTGGTGCATTTGGAGCCTAAACTGTTTGGTCCATCGGTAACAGACTCTGAGGATATGTTTGCCCGTGACCTGGCGGGGACTTGGGTGCCGTTGAGCCTATCGAGCAACCTGCTGCTCGGTAAGTACGGGCCCGGTGGGCATTTCTCCCCACACATTGATGGATCCACCGTCGTTGATCTCAACACGCGTTCCCTCTACACACTACTCATCTACCTGAACCACTGCGCGTGTGGCGGTGAGACTGCGATATTTATGGGTGAGCAGGCGGATGTTCTCGAGTTGGATCCACAAACTGGCAAGTATGTGGGCAAAAAGGAGAAACGCGTTGGCGCCGTTTATCCCAAAAAGGGTTCTGCCGCGTTCTTTTTTTGTGATGTGCTTCACGAGGGTACACCGGTGGGGGAGGGGTGTTGCAAGTACATTCTTCGTGGCGATTTTCTCTACCGTCGTGACCCACCGATTTTGACGACGGAGAATGACAAGAAGGCGTTTGATTTATATGAGCAAGCACGTGTGGCGGAGAGCAACGGAAATGCCATGTTGGCCTGCGAGCTTTTTCAACGCGTGCGCAAGCTCTCCAATGGGGTTGCAGAACTTTACCAACTATAACTTTTCAATGGAGCATGGGTGCTTTGTTGATGGTGGTTCCTTTTTTGCCTTCAATCTATTGACGGCTTTAATTGCGTTTAATTAATTAATTAATTAATTAATTTTTATAGAAAGACGAAAAAAAAAAAAAAAAAAAAAAAAAACAAATGGAGAGAGAGAGAGAGAAAGAGAAAGGGAGAAGGGAGAGGGTCTGTGAGAATTGGGATCTACACGAGGGGTTACATGCTTTTATTTTATTTTATTTATTTATGTTTTTTTTCTTTCTTTTCGTTCAACGCCCATGACATGATTATTTATGTTTTTGTGGAAGCGGTTCATGCCCTTGCAGCAGTTTGCGGAGGACTATAACCCACACGAGTCGGCGCAGGAGCAGTACTATGATGCCTACGCCGACCTTGGCGTGCACCGCGTAATGCTTTCCGACGCACCACGCATGTCTTTTTATCGTCAAGCGGTCACTTGCGAGACGGTTGTCCAGGACCGTGTGGTCGTGGATGTGGGGTCGGGGACAGGAATTTTCTCCATTTGGGCGGCCCGTGCAGGAGCAAAGCATGTCTTCTCCATTGAGGCGTCCTCGTTGAGCTTTTTTCAGGCACGCGTCATTGGTGACAATCATCTGTCGGACAAAATTACGTTGTTGTCTGAAACGGTGGAGAATATTGTTGCGGGTGGTGTTGCGAGCTTTATTGCTACTCACGAGGCGGTGTTGAAAGGCTGCGGGGTGGCGGTCATCGTATCGGAGTGGATGGGATTTTATCTTCTGCATGAAGGCATGTTGCCATCTGTGATCCGCGCGAGGGACTTCTTTGGGGAGGTCAATGCAAAGCTGGGGGTTTGCCGTCGAATTGAAATGATCCCCGAACGCGCAACGATACGTGTCGCGCCTATGACTTGTGCTCCCTACTGCGAGGAGCGCTATTGCAGGTTTTGGAGCGGCCTTGAAGGTGTCGACTTTAGCCGCTACGGCACTGTGGAGTGTGAGATGCAACTAGAGACGTCGAATCCCCTCATTGACACTATCCCGGCCTCGTGTCTCCTGCATGAGGGTGTGGTCCTGGCGGAGGTGGAACTTTCTTCCATTGCGGAGGATGCGATGACGTCTTTGTGCCGTACCGTTCATTTCAACTTCTGCAACTCCACGGCATTTCAACGACACTTTGGCGTTAACTGTACGCAGGAGGTGGCGGTGGATGGGTTCACGCTGTGGTTTGATGTGAGCTTCCGTGAGTGGACGTTAAATACGTCGCCGTTTCATCCGCCCACTCACTGGAAGCAGACAACCGTTCTGCTGCCAGCCACAGTGCGGGCGGAGCGGCTTGTTGCATTCACAAACTCCGACGCAACACTCGACGCTGAGGTGCGGCTCGTAGCGACAGGCACTTTACGGCGCTGCTACACCATTGAATTTGAGCTGAAGTAATACTCACAAAGTGAAAGAGTGGAAGAGGTACAGGTGAAAAAAAAAAAAAAAAAAAAAGAAAGGAAGAAGAAATTGTCAAATAAATATAAGAAAAACAACAACAGGTTATTGGCTCTGTATGGCCCATTGCCCCTATTATTATTATTATTTCTTTTTTTTTGTGGACACAAGAAACCGAATAGTTCTTTTTTTTTTTTTCCTTTTTTTATATATTATTTCTGTTGTTGCGTATTGTTTGCTTCGTGGGAGGTTGTTGCACACCGATAGGAGGAAGAAGGAGGTCAGCGGTGGGCGGGTGGGGATGTCAACGGGTGAGCTCTCGGCGGGATCCGCCGCCTATTTTGAGGAGAAGCACATCAACACACTTCTGGAGGAACTTTTTCACGATGTCATGGTGCACCTGCCGGATGACCCGCTGCAATTCCTGCTGCATGCGCTCGATGGAAAGACGACGCTGCGGTTGATGGTTCTTGGACCATCCGGTGCCGGAAAACGTACGCAGTCCCGACGCATCGCGCAAAAGTACGGTGCGGTGGTCGTCAACGCTGACGATGTCTTCCGTGAGGAAATGTCAAAAGACACAAAAGAGGGCGAAAAGGTAGCGAATTGCATGCGGGATGGCATACCGGTGCCACATGATGTTGCATCTGAATTAATTATACGTCGCCTGAAGATGGAGGATGCGAATAGTAAAGGTTGGGTGCTGAACGGCTTCCCGCGGACACGTTCCGAGGCACTTCGTCTGCAAACAGCGGGCATTTCACCTCTTTTCTTTATTCTGCTGGATGTGCCGTATGAGGTGGCGGTTCAACGGTGCAATGGACGCCGGTATGATCCAATTACACAGAATGTTTACCACATGGAGTTTTGCCCTCCCCCACAAGGAATGGCTGTGGAGCGCATGTTCGAAGATGACGACTCCCTCGCGGCTGTGGTAAGTCGATGGAAATATTTTGACGCGAGGAAGGACGAACTGATCGAATGCTATGAGCCTGTTTTTGTTCGAATCGACGGCAATCGTCCGCTGGATGTTGTCTCGCAGGAGATTTTTGAGCAGGTGGATGCACGATATGTTGCGGTGTGAACTACCGTCCGGGTGGGTGTGGGAGAGGGATGAAATTGTTGGCGGTATCTTTTAGGTTTTCCGCTGGAGATTATGTAATAGATGTAAAAAAAAAAAAAAAGAGGGAAATGACGGGGCAAATAGAGGAGAACAACAACACTCTCAAGGAGCCCCAAGCGAAGAAGAAGAAGAAGAAGGGGAAAAATAGTAAACAACGAAGGATGGATGGGAATCCATTAGAAGAATTGACGGATGTTGTTCTTCAGTGAGTGTTGCGAGAGAGATTCACCCTTGTTATTTTCTATTCTCTCTCTATATGTATATATATATAATTGATATGAGGCGGGCTTATATTTTTTGCATTGGATTTTTTTTTTCTTACTTTCTTCCCTGCACTTAGTCTTGTTCTCTCTGGTGGTGGACAAGAGAAGGAAATAATTACTGGGAGGTGTTTGGTTGGCCGGTACAGGAGGGATCAGGGAGACACAGCAGGCACTTTAAACGCAAATTGAAGGGATTAATACACCAACCAAATAGAGGGACGCTCATAAGAAAAGGAAAAGTAGAGAAATGCTCTCACCAACGCCGTTGCTGCAGCGCTATCGTCTTTTTCATCCCTGTCGGGAGAATATCCCGTTACACATGAACCCGGCCAAGTCGATGTTTCCTCTTATCAACAGTAACAACCTTTTAGCAAAGCCACGAAACAATTGGCAGGATTTTTCTGGGAGAAAAGAATTTGATGAGGACCATCCACTCCCTGTTGTTGCTTCGCGACTGAATGAAAGGACGACGCAACACAAATGGTCTCACTGGGATCAGTACCTTAACCCACAGATCACACAGTCTGTCAAGGATTTGACCCCAACACCAGAATATGTGGGGATGCGTAGCGGCCATAATATGATTAAGATGGGGTGGATGAAAATAGGAGGAAGCTGGAAGTACTCTCGCGGGTACAACGATAGACGCAAAGTGTTTGCCCGTGGGCAGTGGCAAGAGCGCAAGATGACTCCACGGTTTATGCTTGCTCCTCGAGTTTCACCGGGGGGCCCACGAAATCGATATGAGGGAAAACTGGTGTTTTCACGCCTCAAGCTCAGTAAACTCCTCTGGGCGATTGATACCGGGCGTCTGAATCCCAATGAGGTCATTACAGTCTACCACCTTCACGAGGCCGGTGTCGTGGCGGAAGGTGAGATTGTGTGGCCAGGATTTGTTCTTATTAGTAGTGGGGTGAGCCGTGTGCCATACCCTATTCACATTGAGCTTCAAAATGCATCCGCGGAGAGTATTCGGCTCATTGAAGAGGCTGGTGGTTCTTTTACCGGTGTCTATATGACTCATGATGGCCTCTACCAGGAGCTTCACCCGGAAGAGTATCCCGTGTTTCCTGAGCAGGAATTCCCAGAACGGAAAGGCCTGGAAGGGCTCGCAACGAACCCAGCCAAGCGGGGATGGCTTGTACGATGGTACGAGGACGAGGGCAAATACGCTCACCCTGAGGCGGGGCGGCGCTATTCGCATTACGTGCGACCACCAACTGAGCGCGACTTCCCAGCCACCGTTGGGGAGTATGAAATGGTGAAGCACCACCAGAAATGGCATCTGAACCAGCCAGGAACCGGAACATTGCTGCCGTGGCACTCCTACAACACGGCGGACCTTTTGAAAAGATCAGCGGGACGCATTTGAATCGGATATCACGGAGGAGGGAAAACAACAACAATAATAACACTTAAACACACGCATACAAGAAAAAAAACAAAAACAAAAAAAAAAAAAAAGAGAGAGAGAGAGAGAGAGGCTTTTTGTTGTTGTTGTTTTTTATTGTTTTGTTTTGCTTGTGCGTGGTGTTTACTTTTCCGGGGAGTTGTGTTGAGAAGTAATGGCGTCATGACGAGTAGTTTGATGAATTTCTCGTTTTATTGAGTTTCTTGCACTACCGCGTTAGATGGAAATACGTTTTTTTTTTTTTTTCCTCTTTTTTTTTCTTTTTCTTTTTTTTTTCTTTCTTTTTATGTTGCATTTACTGTACTTGCACACCTGAATGCCCATACAATTATTTATATGCATTATAAATATATATTTTATTGACACACGCTAACAGTAACAACTGGAAGGACTTTTAGCTTCATCAAGCGAGACACCTTAAAAAAAGAAGAGGAAAAAAAAAAAGAGTAAAAAAAAAGTAAAAGAAGAGGAAGTGCCAAAAGTTTGGTGACAGGGCGGGAATAAAGTCGGTAAGGTTGAAGGAACAATGGCGGAGGTTTCTGTAAAATCCCACGATGGCTATTGTGTGGGCGATGCAGTCTATTTTAATCATCCAACCGAGTGTTGGATTCGCGGGACTTTAAACACCATCAAACGTGTGACGAAACGAGATGGCTTTACGCATATACTGTATGGATGCAGTGCCGTTACGTCAGATCGATATCTTCCGTCACTGAGTGAGACTCCGTCGTTGGTCCATGTTTACCCACTGAAGAAGCAAGATATCCATCACATTATCGAGTCTTGCGTTGAACCCACAGAACACACGACTCTGAATGACCTTCTGGAGCTTTCTTACCTTCATGACGCAACACTTCTTGAGCAGGTACGCGTTCGATATTACGAAAATCTTATTTACACGCACATTGGCCCCATTGCACTGGCTCTAAATCCATACGACTATACTTTGCCCAATTACACGGATGATAACATGCCAAAATATGTTATGGAGGGATCGAAGGTGATTGAGACGCCATCCAAAAATTTACCCCATGCCTGGACCGTGGCGCATTACAGCTACTGGCGCATGTGCACCGATGGACTTAATCAAAGTATTACTGTCAGCGGTGAAAGCGGAGCTGGCAAGACGGAAACAGCCAAAATTGTTTTAAAGTATATTGGGGTTGTATCTACGGCACAGTGTGGTTCACAGGAGAAATCTGGAGCGGAGGAGATTACCAAAAAGGTGAATCTCACTTCTCCCATCCTGGAGGCATTTGGCAACGCAAAAACCAGGCGAAATGACAACAGTTCACGCTTTGGTAAGTTCATGAAGGTTTTTTTCAGGCAATCGCCAACTGGCGGGGTGATGACAGGAGCGTCCATCAAGGTATACCTCCTTGAGCGTTCTCGTGTTGTCACGCATGGCAAAGGAGAGAGAGGGTATCACAGTTTTTATCAATTACTTGCTAATAATGGTGAAGCGGCTAAACGTCATCGTCTCAGTCAGTTGCAACTAACCCGCGCGGAGGATTATCGCTGCACCGCTGTTGGTAATGCCACAATAATTGAGGGAGTAAATGACGCTGATGACTTTGAGGAGGTGATGCGTGCAATGGAGTTTGTTGGCATGAGTGAAGCGGAATGTAATGCCGTTTGGAATACAGTAGGGGCTGTCTTACACTTGCTCTCTTTGCAATTTAAGGCGCTTAGTGATGACGAATGTTGTATAGACATGAACGCACAAAATGTTGAGATGCATCTCCGCATGGTGAAGGAACTTTTGGGCCTTCCGGATGATGTCTTATTTAACGAGCTTGTCACGACGACGCAGTTGACGCGTGGGGAGACGATTGTACGCAAACTTCGGCTCACGCAAGCTGTGGATTTATGTGAGGGTATCGCGAAGGTGTTATATGAGGCTCTTTTTCTTTGGCTTGTGGCACGTATCAATGAATTAATTATACCATCATCCCAAGATGAAGAAAAAAGAATGCAATGGATTGGGCTGCTTGACATCTTTGGCTTTGAAAACTTTTCTAGCGGGAATTCATTTGAGCAGTTGTGCATTAATTTGGCAAATGAAACGCTGCAGAATCATTACAACAGCATCATATTTACACGAGATATAGAAGAGTGCCATAAAGAGGGAATTACACGGAGGGTGTTCTCTTTTACGATAATCAGCCCTGTCTTGATCTTATTTGTGGCGTTGACTTCTCCGGCTGTGGTCCGGGTGGTTCATCGAAGACAACAAACAAGATGTCTATTTTGCATCTTCTCGATGAGGAGTCGTCCTTGGCGAAGGGAAGTGACTTGACATTTCGTGAAAAGGTCTGCGATTTGTACGGAGGACGACTGCTGGACGGTAAAGGGGGGCACCCAAACTTTTTACGTCTCAAGACCGATCGAAGTTCATTTGTTATTCGGCACTACGCGGGTGATGTCACGTACAACGTGGAGGGGTTTCGTGTCAAAAACTCTGATTCAACGAAGGAGGTCCTTAAAGGTGCCATACGGTCCAGTACAATTTCATTTGTGGCATCGCTTCTTTCCAGTAAAACCTCGGACTCCGGATTGGCTGTGAAATCCACTGTTGGATCGTTTTTTAAAAATCAACTGGTGCAGCTCATGACGGAAATTAACGGCACCCACCCCCATTGGATACGATGCATCAAACCACACAGTACTAAAAAACCCCGTGTGTTTAATGGCAATGAAGTCATGACGCAGATGCGTTCCGCTGGAGTTCTTGAAACGATTAAAATTCGTCAAAACTCTTTCTCGGTTCGTCTCCCTTTTGCGGAGTTTCTGCGGGCGCACAAGGTTTTGATGACGAAATTGCATCCCATGGTATTCAAATATTGTCAGACTCTCAATATGAAACTGACGGAGTTTCAGGTACCGTTTCATTCCCATGACACAGAGGAAGAGAAGATCCGGGAGATTCTAAGACGTGCCGGGGTGAACTCCAATGCTCAGGCACAAGTGGGAAGGACCAAAGTCTTTCTGAAGTTGGAGATTTCACAATATCTCGCTTCTATTGTGCGTGCGGCTCAGAACGGTTGTATGCTCATGATCCAAGCCGCTGCTCGATGCAATTTTTCCTGCAAAACGCTTCATGTACACTATCTTCGTCGCCAACATCAGATCATTACCGCGGCTGTGTTCTCGCATCGTTCGCAGTTGCAGATGAGGTTGCTTGAATTACGTGAGAAGGAGCAGTACCTTTTAAACGCGTTTCGGGTGATTCTGCTTGTTCAAAAGGACGAGATGGAAGCTCGTGCCGCATTGGAGGAAAACGAGCGTGTGGAACACCGGAGTTTATTCGGCAATGCAAAGGAGGAAAAGGACGGCATCATCCAACTTTTATTAAAACGACGGGAAGAGCAGGATGTGGTGGAACAACGCACGTTTGCCGAGGTGGAGAGTCAAACCCGTTGTGACATTGAGGAGGCTGAACTGATTTCTCGTCAATATCTCTATGAGGGCACGAGGTTACTCACGCTGGAGGAGAATGCACGCGATGACGTGGAAGTGGAGGAATCAATGGAGCGGCGATCGAGTTTTGAGCATGGATACATGCAAATAAAAAGACATCTGGCGGCGTGGCTTATGCAGGTTGCGAATAAACAGCAATTGGATTTTTTAGCTGCAGAAGATACGCACCGTCGCATAACGACACAAGAAGAGAGCACAACGTTTAACATGCTTTGTACCCTTTACGATCTTATTTTATCGGAATTGTTGGCCCGAGTATCTCTCGCGAAGGAGGAGAAAGATGCCTTTTCCGACTGGTGCAAGTCCTGGGATACTGAGTGGTTACATGTGGAGAAGCTGTGGTTAGCACGAAAGTCCATCACTGATCGCCGCATGATTTTGCTTTTGCAAAAAAAGGAGAGGGATGCTCGAATAAATTTTGAGCGTTCATACAATTATTCCATCATGGAACTACTTGAGTCTCTTTCTCAGAATGAGCAGGATGCTT